TATTCATGCTGGAAGTTGCATCTCTTGGGCTGAAGTTGCAAGACAAAGGAGCATTCAAAGGTGCACTGAAGAATACATTCAGGATGGTACGTATTAAAACACATCTTATAATTTAACAGGTCTCCACTTAAAAGGTGTTGAAGATATATTACCAGATGGAGAGCTTATGTTTGCATAGCAGATCATTACCCATGTAATAATAAACCAATTGGAATCAAGACTATGCTTATACCCTGCTCCCCTCCCTGCTCACCATGTATCTTCTCCTCTTGTACCTTGCAGTACTCAGCTTTATGTTTTCCATCACACCGCCTCCAACCACTGGTATGCTGTCATCCCTCAAGAGTCCCTTCTTTCCTTTTCAGACCTCTCTCAAACTTCTCCCTCTCTTTTTCCTTCTCCTCCAAATCAACAAGGGCCCCTCCTGAAGCCTAATCTGGTTCTGTTTACACTGTAAACAGCTATGGGGCAGGGAACAGCTTGGGAAAACCTTGTGAGATCCTGCACAGCCTGTAAAAGGTCTAGGCAAATCTCTTGCCACCTGCCTTCCCCCTAGGACAAATTGAATTCTTCCTGTGGGGTCACCAGGGCACGTTATTGTAAGTGCCAGTTCAGTGTAATTACTTTGCAAAGTTGATTATGCACATTGAAAAGCCAGCGGACAGAACGTACTGCAGACGATGTGCTTGCAGTGTAAAACAATGCCTTCCGGCCCTGTCTAGAAGGCAGCCGGGCATCGGAGAAGGGATCCTCAACCAGACTGCCACGGCACCCGGGGCTGCCGTGGGATCCTTGGAAGGGTGCCGCCCGGTGCTGCACCACTCTAGGAGTGCAGACACCTGCGCCTGATTCACAAGATAAACCCTGAGATTTCAAATAGGAACCTAGATGGTCCAAAATGCTCTGCCCTGCCATGGTCTGAGTTCCTTGCAAGGAAAGAATTGCTTGGTTATTTTTCTTTAGTCGAAAAAGGAGCCATAGCTAAGGCCTGTTATTTTTGGGGGGGGTAACTGAGGCCCCTGAGGCCCTGAGCCCATGGAGGGGGGCTCAGCCCACTGCGGGGAGCATGAGCCCACCGTGGGGGGGGGGAGCTATGAGGCCACGGGGGGGCACCACTATGAGGCCACCCGGGGGTGGGGTGCAGGGGAATGAGCCCACGGGGGGGAAGCATGAGTATACCGGGGGTGGGGAGGGTGCAGGAGAAGGAGCCCCGCGCTCCGCGCCCCCCGCAGCAGAAGCGAGAGACCCCGCAGTGCAAGCGCCGCCACCGCGCATCCCCGGGCAGCGCCGCCTCCCGCTCGCCCGCCCGGCGCTTACCCGCGTCCTCCTCGTCGAAGCTGTTCATGCAGGGGAAGTAGATGGCCAGCGCCTCGAAGGAGGCGGACAGGCTGAGGCGGCTCTGCGAGCGCTCCATGAAGAGCCCGGGCGGCCCGGGGGCTCCGCCGGGC